GTGTTCACCTTCAGCTCTCTACCTCTGTCCTTTGGGTCATTCATCACCAAGCTCTCTGCTCTGGATTAGAAAATGCATCAGTGAGATAAGGGTCCCATTCCTTGCTCCTAAGAAAGGGGAGGGAGTTAGAAAAAAAAAATAAAGGAGACTACTAGCAACCAAAAGCAGAAGTTGGGGGAAAACAAATGGGGACTGAAGAGACTGAAAAATGTAAAAGTTGGAAAGTGTGCTTAAAGTAGTTGAGGTTTATCTGTTGAGCTGACTGGTGAGGCCATGCATCTGAGTTAAAAAGGCTTAAGAGAGTTACTTGGCATAATTTCTCCATCTTCAATGATTTACTACTGAAGTGCAAACATCAATTTTGGACTCTCTCCTGAGAAACATTTAACAAAGTCAGTGAACTTCTGGTACCCTGATACCTTTTGAGATTTGCCAAACTTTGATAGCTCTTTAATAAACCTGTGTATGAAGTTTATCTTAGTCATTTTTATTTCCATTCAGGCAACAAATCCATTAGTAAATATGCAGATATAAAAATGATCTTCCTCTTTACTTCTCCATTGTGATATATCTTGGAATTGTTGAAAAATGCGCTCTATTGTTAGGGCTATTTGTGCCGGGTGTGCTAATGCACTCTTTGATTGAGTGAATTAGCAGTCATAACAATCTGGCAGTCTGGCCATAGAAGTGTGCTCAAATTGATTTGTGTTATGGCTGGACTGGAAAATCTAGTGTTAGTTGTTTTTTGCCCTGGGGCATTGTTTGTACCAAACTCTACTTTTCATTTAATTTTCCAATACATTTTGAAAGATTGAAATGCTTGTGAATCAACATTTGATCCACTTGCATTATTTAAAAAAAAAATTCTGAAAGTAATTTCAGATTCCAAAAAAACCTTGCTTTCAATTAGAGTAAACATAATTAGAGTGACAGCGTGCTCAGAATGGTAAATCTCCCTTTGAATCTATTAAGCATGTTATCTCCTTGTCCTGTCACTGAAAGACATCTCGTATATATGTGGAACACACAACTGTATTTTTCTGTGCATGCTTCCAGTAGCACTTGGGAAAAATTGAAAGAATAAAATGGTAAAGATCTTGTTGTCCTTTCTGGTTATGCCCAAATTATTTCTGTTTCACTTAGTGATGCCATGTAAAGAAGACAGTCCTAGCTTTCAGGAATATCTGAAATATTAAAGGAGCACATCCACATACATCTCACCTTTATTCATTTTAGGTTTTGTGCTCTGTAAAATATACATTTTCATTTTTAAAAACTAACTGCCCATTGCTATATTGAAGCCCTGAAGATGTGAAGACATGACTTCTCCTGGCTTTGTCAATATTTGTATCTTGGCTGCAATCTTCTGCTTTGCAGTCCTTTACCAGAATTATAATGCAGCATGAATAAACCTAAAAAATGACTATTGATTACAGAGAAAGCTTTGTGAAATCATTTAGTCAGTTTCCCCACTTGAGAAATCAGTAAATAAAATAGGTCAATAGATAAGGATGGCATAGATATAATACAGTGTTATGTCTCCCTGAGTTATAATAAAAGGGTCAAAAATAAATCCCTACAGAATTCATTTTTACACTCATAAAATAAAATATACTTACCAATTCCCAACTATAAGTCCATCTTTCTACAGATTTATTCTTCTGCTTTTAAAAAAAAAACACAGATTTTGAAAGTATGTTTTTATGTGTCCCTGTTTCATTTTCTCATCACTGCGTCTTTTAATCAAATAGGATGCCCTCATCATCTGGCTAAAGTGCCTATGTCATCCAGGTATTCACCAGGACTTTAGCTGCAATAGCTACTTTGTATTTTCTTACTGTCTCCTGCAGCCTCACAGCTCTTCTTAGAACTGCATTTCATACTGCACTGAACTCTGCATCCCGTGCCGATTTTTGTTAAGTAATAGATGATGAGCCCTGCGACCACTCTCTGCATTAGTTCTCATTCCTAGAGGATCTTGGGGGGGTGGGAGGGATGAGGGAGGAAAGAAGGGGAGGGGCCAGAAGAGGGCAGGAGGAGGGAAGAAAATACCTTCCCTGAACTGGTACAAGCTAAGCTTCAAACGATATCCTAGGAAAGAAATTAAAGACTTCTTAATTAGTGCAGCAATTAAGCTTTCTTGGTAGCATTTTAATCAGCACAGGCCCTATCAAAGGACAAACAGAACGATTTGCAGGTCTTTGAATTTTAAACAGTCTTATTGATTTCAGCACAATACGTCTTCGCAAAACACAAGGAGAATTTTCTAATATCAGTTACAGTACTTTGAGTTTTGCTTATGCAAATTAAGTGAAGGTTGGGGAAGATGAGATGGAGAGGACATGAAACAACAAGCGACGTAAAACAATAAACAAACAAGACAAAAGCTCTAAGCTAGAGATGTAATAGAGTGAGGATTTGAAATATCTCTTAAGTTGATTTATCTGCTGTTGTTAAATACTCTTTGACTTCATCATTGGTAACATTTCTCAAAAAAAAATTAAAAGGAAAAAGAACGCTTCCCATTTTTCAAGGCTTTTCTTTCCTACCTATTTTAATTTGCGTTATATGACTTTCCTAATCCTATTGTTTGATCAAAGAAGTGATAGTTCCTTGAAATGGCTTAGAGACCTGAGGTGCAGGAGATGGGGTTGGGGGGCCAGGACTCCCATTTATGTGGGACAAATGCCACCAACCCCTGCTTCAAATTAGGGCACAGCTCAGTGTCTGGGGTTGCCTGTAGAAGAAAAAAATATTAGAGATAGCTTTGAAACAGGGTTGGGGTTAATGTCTTGGTCTGCTACCACTGCTTCCTGCCTGTGGCTTCAGTGTCGCAGGTTTTGAATGACTGATAGTTTAAGAAACTGTGAGAAATTAGAGTGGTAAGGGCAGGTTTTTAACATTCAACTACCATTTTTTTCTACTTGTATGACTACTGTTTTCAAATAGGCAATATGTAATTTAGCACTTTAAAACCATATCTGTTTATTAAAGTTAAGTATGTAGTTCCAGAATTAGTTTTTCAAAGCTTAACACTTTCTTTTTCCCATGCCCTCATTAACATAGGAATCTGGCATTCTGGGGAGAAAAACCTTATAATATATTCTGACGCATGTATAAACACTTAAAGAAGTGTTTTGATGTATGGGGTATATATTGAATTTCTACATTTCACTGAGGACTGACTTAGGGAACAAAAATTAGTTGAAATAATTTATGAAAATATCAAAATGCATTGGATAGTTAGGCCAAGCAGCTGTGCAAACTTTAGTTATCCTTCTAGAAGTTTATCTACTTTTCTGTAACAATTTTCTCAATACTTATGAAGCAGAGAAACTTCCTGATATAACTAATAATCTTCAAAAGTTTAGCATAAACTTAGACTAGTTTGTTCAATAATGTCACATTTCTCTGTAGATAGTTCTTGCACTTCTTGACACTAAACTTCAAAGAGTTTAAGGATTAAAATGATAAAGAGAAAAGTGATAATAATGTCGACATCAAAATGCCAGATTTCTCAACACTATGAACTGCTATTAATAGTTTATTTTTAAAATCTGTCAAATGCTATCACATTGTTTCATATCTTGTGGAGTCGCTGGACGTGTGTAGACAGGTTCAAAGCCTATTCAAGATTCCTAGAGATACAAGCAGCAAAGAGACGTGACCTATGCTTAAAGCATATGTTGGTCAAAAATCCTTGAGTAAATTGCTCCATGCAACAAGTTAGAAAAGGAGAGAGGAAGAAAAGGAGAGAAGGGTTGTGCATACATTGCCCACTGTTGTTTTTGAGGTTAGCCACCTTTTCTACCTTTCTCACTCAGATAGTGAGCTTAGGTTTTGTTCTCCTCAGCATTTACAACACATTACTGAAAAGAATTTTCTCAAAATATTTAGATACTTTTCAAATATGGAAAAAAAGTCAGAACTATTGTGTAACTTAAACATCACACTAGCAACTAGTCTTGTGCCTTAAAGGACATGGGAACAGTTGGTTACTGTTCAACACAGGTGACTTAATTATAGAGTTTTGGGTAAGAAACATCAGTGTGTTATTTTGTTCTACTTTCCATATCTTTAAGGATGCTGTTCTCTGAATCTTTTTAGGCAGAACAAATGTTTCTGACCCTGGCTTTAAGGTGAATGTGAAGTTATTCTGAAAAATCCAGCTCATGGAAGTGCTTATTCCCACTGTCTATTAGGAAATAAGGAATTCAGCACAGAGCATGTCGCTATTCTTAAGCTATTTCATACTGACTTTCTTCCCCCAACTTGATAACTGTTTTGAAATTCTCAATATCTTTATATACATAATAGAGAAACAGAAAATCAGATGCATTAAAAATTATGGTTTGCTTACATTTGAAATTTCCTCAAAACAATTTCTTAAGATCATGAAGAGGGATGTTTTCATGTATGTCTCATTGCAAAAAGGCGCGGAGATACATCCTAAATCTTTGCAGGAGAACTCAGAGCGCTCTGGCTCTCGGTTAAATTGTCAGGCGACTGCTTAGAAGCTTTGGGGGAAAAATTAGAAGTCGTCGCGGAAGAAACGGAGTATCGGGCATGCAATCTAGCGGTAACAGCACAGGAGAAGCGCACGCCCCAGTCTCTCCTCCCGCGACGGCCACCTCAGTGTCCCCGCTCCCCCTGCCTCCCCTCCGCCTCTCCGCGCCCCCACCCTCCCTCCCCCTGCCCCC